CACCATCCTCACACCTTGCCCCAGCCCCAGTCCACACCAATGCAGCACCGCCATCACACAACGCAGTATCATAGCATGTGAGCAAACACATCCCCAACGCAGAGGCCATTGGTGTCGTTTCATGTCCTGAACAAAATTCAAATTCCCAAACCGAGGCATGCCCTCTGCGAAACCTCCGCAACTACGAGCACTCTGAAGGGCATTGGCTGGAGAAGCGGATGAGCAGTCCAAGGCTCCCAGCCACCTCACGTGCTTCCCAGCCAGCACTGTGCTGCCAGGCAACAACTTCATGAAGCAGCCGACAGACACCCTGGCTGCCCACAAGACACATTGCCTGTGGAAGCGCTGCCATCTAATGGCCTACTTGTTCTATCCCTACATGTCAAATCAACCAACCAATTAACCAACCATGAAGACACTCAGTGCCCAGGTCGCTTCTTAGTCCTCCAGAAACGCGGCTGGACAGTCTGCTACCTCCTAGTGACATTTTAGTACCTTCTTGCTGTGTAGCTAATACTAGAAAATCACCATGCTCACTGCTTAGCTTTGCTCAAAGACCGGAAAAAGTTCATCTGCTCCTCAGTGCTCATCGCAGACCCCATAGAGGGCTCCACCCGCGCTGATGGATGGCCATGTCCAGAGCACGATGGTGGAATGGACGCCCCAGCCTTGAATTCCCCAAACCTTTTCTTCACAACGGCCATCTGCTCTTCAATGAACTTCTTTCGCTCCTCTGGGGACATGGCCTCCGCCTTTTCAAACATCTCCTTGTGCTGTACATTCATTTCCTTTATCATCGCACTCTGCCCCCGCATGAACTGCACCTGTTCCTCAGGGCTCATGTGGCGCAGCTGCTCCCTCATGGACGTCATCTGCTGCATGGCGAGCTGTCGCATCTCCAGTTTCTTGGCGAGCTTGTCATCGGGCAGCTCAGCTTCATCCAAAGCCAGCTCCTCCCTAGCGAGTAGCAGGATAGCAAGGGTAAATGAATAGCGCTCAACTTCCTCAATCTCTGTTGAGACTCCACACTTTGATGCAAAGTAGATGATCAACACAAGGGTAACAATGGCAGTGGCCTTTACCCCAAAAGGCAGGGAATTGTAACACCCTGTCCATCTTGGTCTCGTACTAAAAATGATGAGCTGATTTCATCAGGTACCAGATGAACGAAACGCAAGAGCAAGCTGTCAAGGAGCAAGCACAAGTTGGTCCTGGCCAAAAGAAAACCAACAGCCATGCTCAACCTTGTGCCCTTTGCTGGGCAGACAGCATTTCAATGTTAAGTGGCTGACTTCAAATTTAATGACAACGCAGAAGCATCCACTGGCTTTTGAGGTGAAAAGAGGAACCATCCAGCACGTCTTTGCAATACCATCCTCTTCATCTGAGTAAGTCCCCTAGTGTCTTTCACAAGAGCAGTGCCACAGATGAAGCATTTCCAGCTGTGCTGGATGCTGTGCTTGATGCAAGAGAGGCCAAATTCAACCCCAACTGCAGATGGGAAACACCAAGCATTCTTTTTGCTGCCTTATATGTTGAAAATCGCCTGTCTACATACTCCAAGACCAGAGGAATCTCCACTGCAGCTGTGTTTGTATTTCCCTGTTTGTTTGTGGGAAAATGGCCGTTGCTGCTGCAAGACCAATTGTACATCAATGCTCTTGAGTGCTCTTGCAGTGTCAAGTAATGTTTGTTACTGCAGGCTAGTGCCGATGCATTCAAAAGCAGCATCGACAATACACAAACCTCAAAACGTTGTTGTTCATGAGGAGTGGCCACAGTTTTTGTTCCTTGAATAGCCTGAGTGGTAAGTTGCTCAAACACAGTGCACCCTGAGCAGGCGGTTACATCTGTACCAGGTCACTTTCTGTACTAGGGCCTTCTGCATGAACAGCCAAACAGCTGTGGTGCATGGCCAACTGCTGTATGGATTGATGCCAGGGGTTACATGGCAGGCATTGGAGGTGAGGGTGCTGCTTGTGCTGTCCATTGCGCATTCAGACCCCATGCCTCCCATTCCTCTCCCTCATCCCCAAACCAACCTGTCTACAAATGTCATCAGCTCATTCATGAAATCAGCGTCGTCTCCATATTTCTCCCTTATTTTCCCTAGGAAAGAGATCCCGTATTTGCCATCTATTCCCAGGGAGTCAAATATCTCTTTCTGCAGCTCAGTGACCACGAAACCCACATCCTGCGTGCCAAGAAAGCAGCAAATTCAGAAGGCAGCGACCTTTCCTTGGGTGAATAATACTGCATGGTGCTATGTGCAGCAAGGAAGCAACACCTGGTTGAAAAGTGGGCAGTGGATAAAGTGGGCATTACAGGGTTTGGCATGTCAATTGGGGTTGATGGTAAATTCATGGACGTTGGCTATCGTGCTGTTCCTTTATGGCCCCGCATCACCCTCCAGACGGAAGGAGAGCAGTAAAGCTGGGCTCAGGGCATGGTTGCTCACAGCGAGTCCGGCCTTGCTCTCGACAAAAATCAGCAAAGCAAAACTAAAGAACTGAAAAACTGGTAAAGCAAGCTCGGTTTCCAGGTACTGCGGGCCCAGCCGCTTGAATCAGCCCTGAACCAACTAAGCATAAAGACATCAGATGGTCGGTGCCCGCGCAGGTTCCCACCTGCCTCTTCCTGGCTGCCTCTTTGAGGTTCGCCTTCACATCTGCACAACACACACGGGGACGCCTCACTCCGGGTAAGCCCTTTTCTCCCTTTCGGAAATCAAGGGCTCAAGGGCGCCAGACGGATTCAGAACTCCCAGGAGCGTCTGCCAACAGGAGCGTGTGGCCACGGGGCGCTACTTCCGCAGTCGCAGGTTGCGCACTGCGAACGTGGACACAAAACACGGGCCTACTGTCCCGATAGCTGGCTGGGACCCAGTCACTCCTCACAGCTAACTGCTGCTCCAAGTCCCCCACCTCCCACCCCCCCCTCGCACCCCAGGCCCCATGCAAGCGTCTCGCCGCACCTTCGCTGTCGAACATCTTGTACCCGGCCGCGAAAAACTTCCTCAATTGCTCCTGCAGCGCAAATCACCTGAGCACAAAGCGCACGAAGCACGAGGGCGACACGAGCGGCGCGCGGACGCAACCAGGGGCCCAGCACCTTGGTCAGGACGCCATCGCGCTGCAGGCCCTCCCTCTCCGCGCGCTGGCACTCGGCCTGCGCCTCCCCGCTGGAGAACAGCGAGCTCACGGCGTCGGCCACCCACTGCATCGCGACGCTCGTCGCTGGGCCCCCCACCGGCGCGGCCTTCTCCTTTGCTGGGCGCTGTGGACTGCCACAGTGGTGCAGCGCAGGCGGGTTCCTCCTTCCTCCTTGACAGGACTGCGGCCCAGTACTTGGGTGGTGGTAGTACTAGCCCAGTACTGCGGTTGCGCAGGAAGGCTGTGGGTTTCAGGGGTGGTGTTTGCTCTCTGGCACGGCGAACGTTGGACAGAACAGACCACCTGGTCGTCCCCGCAATCTCGTGTGCTTGGCCCCACCATGGTTTCTTCAACCCTTCCGCACAGTAACGTAGCGCTTGGCCTTTTTTGCGGACAAAAGAATAAAAAATAACGCTTTTTCAATCAAACTATTGCAGAGCAACGTAAAACAAATAACGCACTGAAAAAATTGCGGATTGTTCGTGGCAGCCGTTCATGTTGTTTGATTGAGAAATTTTGAATATACTACGGCACTTGCCTGCTGCGTTTCGTCGCGATGTTCATGGCGCTGACAATTTGGGCCGCGAGGCGGGTTGGTAGACAGTGGGATTGTGACATTTCTTCACATTCGTCAGTCTGGCGGTCGCCCCTGGGCAGACACGCACACCAGAAAGGGGAAACACGCTTGCTCAAGATAGTTTCAAATCGTTCCTCAAAATGTTCACCGTTTCTTTCGTTTGGGTGTAGTATTTGTCATTTTGCCCAGGGGCACTTCAAGTTGACGATATGCTGTGCATGGTGCATCAAGGACCATTGCCATAAAACTGTTTCGTTGAAAAGTTTGTGTGCCCCACTTGTGCACCTGAGGCTGTGCCCACCCGTGAGACCCTGTGCTCCGCCATCCTGTGAATGAAGGCAATGGAGTAATCCCGGGAAGCCCTGAGATCCCACCCACGTCAAAAACACAGTGTGTGCCACCCACAACTGGCATAGAGCAAGAAACCAGCAGTATTTGCCAGTGATGGGTCCTGAGTCGAACTGGCTTGCCAAGAGCGTTGCGGTTCTTTTGTTGCATTCCAGCAAGCTTAGACCACTTTCATGAATGGAAAATGCCAACAACTTCCCAACATGTCAGCCATGCTGACAAATGTGTCCAAAAAACTCCCGCCTGCCAGTAATCTGTACTGGGATTGGATAAAATGAATGGGGGTGAATTGACAACAAAAATGAATGGAGGTGAATGAACATATTGTACCTGCAATAATTTTGCCATTCCAAAATGAATTTTGATACTTCACTCCGGTTTCTTTTCCGACATGGAACAAGTATTTTAGAATCTCCAAAGGGCCAGCCGTGGGCCAGGAATGGCCTGTTCGTCACATTAGCAGAGGCAAAGGCTTCCAGGGGCAACCAACATATCCCGAATGTCTTTGTCCATGTAGTTGGCATCCGAAGAAATCCGAACACACCACAAGGATCTGGGCCACATTCTGACAAAGAGCAGCTGTTTGAGTGGAGCATAATGAGCACAAGGTGATCAAGAAATGCATGGTATGAGCGGTATGCTCGTCGTTGCACGCTAGGCATGAGGGCCAGGGTTTGCCCTGTGCAGGATAAAACAAGACAAAGTATCCAAGAGATCAAAACCAAAAGCTCAGGCAGGGGGCGGCCAAGAAATTGAGCTCAACTCTGGCCACCACAGGCAGCCACCCACGCTCTCTGCTCCAGCGCTCTATTCATTGGATTGTGGAAAACTGTTAGACAAGCAGTAGCCAGCACCACTCAGAAGATGAAGAAGTCGTTTTTCTGTGTCTCATCAGAGATCAGTACACAGTAGTCAACATCACCATGGGCTGGCCACATCTTTCCTACCAATTGGACACTGCAACTATCAGCAGCAGTCACACACACAAACACAAACACACACACACTTTCGGCGAGGCTGGCGGTCAATCACTCTGGGGCCATCAGCAGGCAAAATACAAGGCCGAGATGGGATCAGACACTGGACGGATAATCATCAACAGATGCTCATTTGGGGAAAGAAGGAAAAGGCCAATGTCATCATACCCCTCTGATGGCTCCACTACAAGAATCTTAACAGCAAAGAAACTTTTGGGCCCTCGATCGCAGCGGCCTGCAGCAGCAACCTCAGCGTAACATAATGTACAGCCCCAGCCCAAAATCAGATGGCCATCTACTTGTCCATGGCTATGTCCGTGAAACCTGGATTACTTCAGAGCTGCGGCTGTGGCCCGCGTGGCCCCATAGGTGCCTGGCTCGGGTAGCTCCAAATCTGTCACACCCGGAATTGGAAGCGCGCAGCTAACTGTGCGGACTGGCGCCAGCGACAGGTGCATTGGCTGTTGGGGCGCGCAAGGGGCCCGGCGCCGGACACTCGAACGACCTCGATCCCGGCTGGCCCGACACCCCCGGGCGGAGGACCGCTAACGATTAGAACGCACGTCAGGCCGTTTCAACAAGCAAATCCTGCAACACCATCGTGGCCCCGCGATTCGCTTTGGCGGCCGACGATGGCGCTCAAATCAAGAGAATGCGGAGCGCAGTTCCGCGATTTGGAGATGCCAGGGGCAGAACACGCCAGTGAGTGCGCCGCAACAAACCTTCGGGGCGTGTGGCGTTGGGCCACCGAACCCCGCGCCGCCGCAGAGTGCATTGGGTGGCAGCTTTGTACCTTCCCCACTTCACGCTGATCAATTTCTTTTCAATATTGTTTAGGTTTCTAGGTATTCTGCTTGCTATTCTAGGTATGTTTCTTTTCTTACGTTTTTAGGGTTAGCGTTGTTGTTTGAGGTTCAGATTTTTTAGATATTTTGCTGTTTAGGTGCTGGACTTTGTACCGGTCTCGATGCCGGTCTAATGTCTGACTATCGGGAACGGCCTCTTGTTAGAAAATGCTGCTCAGCGCTGCTCTACTACACTGTGCTAAATTCAATGGAATCACCGGCGAACCCTATGGGTCCCCAAGCACACAAAGCCTGCACTGTCGCGTGCAAGGCGCAAAATGATGGCGATTTCGCACCGCCTGCCCCGGACGACGAGAGGCAAGGGTAGCAGCACCCAACAGTCGGAAGTGGCGATCTGAGACGGGCGCGTCGGTTCGCGTGCGCCAGGCGGGGGGATGGTGGGGACGCCGAGGGTGTTGATGGTGGCTGAAAAGCCCAGCCTGGCGCAGTCCATATCCCAGATTCTGTCGGATGGCAAGGTGCGTTCGGCGCCCGAAGAGCAGGACCGTTGCAGTTCAGCGTCCGATGACGTCTCGGGGGCAATTTCTGGTGTCGAAAAGGGCATTGCACGTAAGACTGCAGTGCAAAGCGCCGTGCTGCGTACATCCGTTGACTCGTTTTGTGGAGAGGTCACAGAACACATCCCTTGCGCCGGCAGGACGATGGCGTGCGGAAATGCACTTGCACCTTGTCCAAAATACGAAAGCGATCAAACTCCAAAGCTCAGCAGCGCTGATGGATTGGATAGTTGCCCCGTCGCTCCTGTTCGGCAATGCTGACTCGCAGATTGGAAGAATGCGGGGCAATTTGAAGGGTTGATTGGCTGCCTGCACGTGTGCTACCGCAGACTCATTCCCACCGGCGCAACCTGGAGGTCCATGAGTTTGCGGGTACCTTCCTTGGCGCACCTGCCCAATTCAAGATGACATCTGTCATCGGCCATGTCTTGTCCATTGATTTTCCACCCCGGTTTCAGAATTGGGACACAACAGACCCAGCGACACTCTTCAGCGCGCCGACAATAAAAACGGAAGCCAACCCGAAGGTGTGGATTTGCAGCAAACTCTGGCAACAGCAGTGGCTGATGTGGTTGCTATTGATTGTCACACCACGCATGTCATACGGAAGGCACCCCATTCTCAAAGGTGATTGTGCAGCCATTTCACATGCTGCAAATATCATTTGAATGCAGCGGATGGCGAAGAGCTGGACGAGTGTGGAAGTGTGCCTGTCGGTCCTTCCTGAGCACTCGCAGTCGTGGCGCATGGATGTCAGTGCCATCCTCATCGTGTAGGTCAACTATCAAAAGAACTCGACAGTATGCAGGTACTGTTCTGCATAGTCTTGGCTGTGTTGCATAGCTTCAGGTACCAGGACCAACTGATGCCGTATTTTGCACGTTGACGTCAGGCACATGTTTGCAAGCACCTGCAGAATGAGGCAAAAGACTGTGACTACCTTGTCCTGTGGCTGGACTGCGACAGGGAAGGAGAGAACATCTGCTTTGAGGTGTTGGCCATGGCTACCCTGAATCTTCATGAACTCAAATGCTTGTGCCTGCCAAAATGCAACAATGCACTGGACATGCGCATTCAAAGCGATTATTGGCAGCTGTGGAACGGCAGTTCATTTCTTCTTGGTACCCAGTTGCATGCCCACTAGAAATTTGTGCTGAAAGTGTGACAGCTGAATAAAGGTGTGCACTACTGAACTATGGCCAGCGCCATAGACCATCTGGAAGGCACTACAGTCATGCTCTGCAAACCATGGCAGCTCCAGTGAATTCAAGTCATTGGACATGCCGTGCATTCAAGCTGGCTGTGTGAGCGCTCTTGGCTAGGCTTCAGTTGTTTAGTATTGCGTTTGGGTGCAGAATGGACTGGTTCTCTTGGACCATATAATGGGCAGAGGCATGAGAGTGCTGATGGTTAGCCATCCATTGTGATATATAGGTCATGGACAACACCGTCAAGTGGATGAGACGCCGCTCAGGTCAGCAGGTCTTCAGGGCACAGTTTTCATCAATTAGCGCATCAGAGATAAAGGCTGCAATGGTGAGGTAGATATGCGCTCGTCTTCAAACATTTGAGACCGGGTTATTCTTCTGGACAGTGTGCACATTTGTGACTGTTTGTGTTGATATGTTAGTAAACAGCTGCTCACACGAGCATGAAATGCTCACTCGCTGTTTCCAGACCCTTAGGTGTGGAGAAACAAAAGGCTCCGTTGCAGTAACATCATCTGCCGCAGGACAGGGACCAAACAACAGATTTTCAGGTCTTTCTGCATCTGGCAAACCACTCCACCAGATGTTGATGGGTGATGACGAAGTGCTCATGGGTTTCTAGTAATAGGCTGCTGAGCCCAGAGGTGATGCTGGTTTGTCTTGTTGTCAATGCCAGAGAAACCTGGGAAAGCCCAACGAGAACGAGGCCCTCGCTGTGGATGCTCGCCAGGAGCTGGACTTGAAGGTTTGTCCAGTGCTGCGGCAGGGAGCCTGCTCTGGCTTGGTGTTCTTGGATCTCGCCATCCCATCCATGCATCAAACTCGACGCTTTGCTAGTACATTATTGTGAGGGTGCCATAGACCACTGGCGGAGGGACGCTGCTTTGACCATCTGATTTCAGCACAGACAGGTGACATGACCAGTGTGTCGATTTTTCATGTTGCCTGTAAGGATTTCATTCGTTCAATATGCTTGTGCAAAGCGTTCTTCAGGTGGGAACACCTGCCCCGTCTGATTTCTGAATGGCAAATGCCTCAATGCCGAATCAGGTGGGCGTCGCCTTCACCAGGTTCCAGACCAGGTTTTTCCAGGGCAAGTACGGCAACCTGGACTCAGCCCTCATATCCTACGGCCCCTGCCAAACGCCCACGCTCAATTTCTGCGTGGAGCGGCACCAGAAGATCATTTCCTTTGAGCCCGAGCCGTTTTGGACTGTCCGGGTGCATGTGGCGAAGAGCGGCCTGCAGGTGCAATTCGACTGGGAGAGAGGCAGGGTGTTCGACCAGGCTGTAGGAGCGATGTTCCAGAAGTCGGTGAGCCACCTGGCAAGAGAAATCGGCCAATTTTGCCCACAGGGCCTGTGCTTCTGCACTATTATGTTGCTAACCATGTGCTGGGCAAACTCGCATGCAATGGTGGGCTCAAGGAGCGGTTGCTTCCTGCAGACGATGGTGTTGTGCATTTTGATGCATTTGCACGACGGCTTGCATTGCAAGGACACTCAGCGTCCTTGCAGAATATCCTAAAAATGAACGAAAGCTGCATCATCAAGTCTTGATGATGTGGCTTTCTTACTTTTTATTGCTCTTGGAGGCGTTTTTAGCGACTGCTATATTGTGCTTGCAAACCCCCGTTGCCATGACGCTTTCTCAGCATCTGCGTTCAATATTGCTATTGGCGCCAGTGGCACATGGCATGAGTACTGTGCCGTTATGCACTGTGTGTAACATAGCATGTTCAGCGCTTCCGCATCAAACAATTTTACCGTTACTCTTTTTGCTCCGCATTTCTTTTCATAGCGTTATTTTTACTTTTCTACGTTGCTCAGCAAAGTTTGATGAAAGAAGTATGTTTATTTTATTGTTTTCTCCTCAAGAAAAGGCCAAGCGCTGCATTAATACGCGGAAGGATTGAACATACTGCAGTAAGGCAATAATTCACTGCAGGTGCAAGATGGCAAGAGTCTGAAGATCACGTCCGTGATAGAGAAGGAATCCCGCAGCCACAGACCCTGCGGCCTCAACACTGTGGAGATGCTGAAGATCGCGTCCTCGTCTCTCAACATCGGTCCGCACCACACCATGCAGGTGATTCACGGCGGTCAGTAAATGCCATTGCCACACGCTCCACGGTGAACGAATTTCGCTGGCGCGCGGGCCGTTCTTCAGTTGCTCAGCATTTGCTTCGTGGCTCACCACCCGAAAGGAGAAGAAGAGCATGGGCTCGGAAATTCATACGATTTGGTCCCTTACTGCTGTCATTGGCTGCCATCTTTTGGCGCGTTTAGTGCTTATATTGGTGATGCCAATACACGATTATAAGGAACCGCCGTTATTACGCCTTTGAATCATCAGCAGAGACTCAACAAAATCTCAAAGTCTGCTATTTGAAAATGACGTCTTTCCTTTTGGAAGGAGAACTAATCTTTGCGTTGGAAGAAATCTGAGTGGATGACGCTTTTGCCATCGACGCCTGAGTTCCGTTTGTTGCGCCAACGGAGGCAAGATAGCGGAGCGGCTCTACATCCAGGGCTACATGAGCTACCCGAGGACGGAGAGCAGCGCCTACTCCGCGGGGTTCGACATCAATGGCACCATCGCGGCGCAGAGGGGCCACCCCATATGGGGGCAGTACGCCCGAGGACTGCTGGAGGCCGGCGTCAGCAGGCCGAAGGTGGGTGAAAAATCCTCATTTCCAGGCTCTCAGCTTTACGTCTTTCGCAAGGATTGGCTGTCAAAAGCGCTTCTCTCAGGAGCAGATCGCAATGGTGGACGGGCGCAGCGCAGCAGAAGAGGTTGTCAGCGTTGTTTTCTTGGGGATGAATTGTCATGGAGCGTCTTAATTGTGAGGCGTGTGTGGATGATGGAATTTGCAGCACGCGACCTGGGAAAGTCCATGCTGGAATTCCCTGGCAGGAAGGCCTGGGTGCAGCGCCATCTGCGGTGGTTGAATTTGCAAGGAATGCTTGACAAAATCGATTACTAAGCCCCAACTATCCCTATTTTTAAGCCTCTTACTTCGAAGCATTAAGCGAATGTATGTATTAGTAAATTCGAATACGGATCCACAGCTAAAACTCATCTGCACTCTGCTCAATTCAGGGCGGCGTGGACGCCGGCGATCACCCTCCCATCACTCCTGTGCGATCCGCCACGGAGGCTGATCTGGGAGGCGGGGACGCTTGGAGGCTGTACGACTACGTCGTGCGCCACTTCCTGGCCTCCGTCAGCCCGGACTGCGTCCTCAAGAAGACCGAGGCCACTGGTACCTGCGGGGGAGAGACGTTCAGCGCCTCGGGGCGGCGCACGATCAAGCCCGGATATGTAGCCGTTATGCCTTGGAAGGTGGGGAGTTTGTAATCCGCGTCTGTGGTCAGTCAAACGACGACTGCGGGCACCGGAAAAAACGGATCTCTGGTTTGCATTCGCATGAAGCTGGCCGTAATGTTGGGAAGCATTCCTATTCGCGCTCCTGGTGGCCAGTTTACATGCATGGTGCATAGTCGTTGCACTCACGGTTGTCATATTAGTGCTGCAGTCTAAGCAGCAGGTAATCTGACAATTCTGCAAGGTTTCTGCAATGGCGTGCCACAAGCAGCGGCCCTGAATTGTGACCAAATTAGGATGGCCGCCGTGCGCGGGCGGACTGTCAGGCCTGATTTCGTGGCGAGCATGCCATGGGTGGGATGGATGGCAGTGCGCGGATCGCCGTGGTTGCGTTCTGGGCCCGTCACAGCCGAATTGGATTCAAGGACTTTGCTGCGTCAAATGCAGCGAGCGTGGCCACAGGGGTGTTGTTACCCGCGTCTGCACGGAGGCGGCTGCGCTGCAGAGACACTAGTAGAAAACCGGCGAAAATACACGGTCTTGGTAATCATTTATCTCGTAAATTATTGGAAATTGTGTTAAACCGTGTTAAATCGTGTATGTATTGTGTGCTTGTCGTATAAAAATGGGATCAAACCGTGTAGTAACTATTTGCCAGTGTACAAGATTTTTACACTTTTTAGCACGGTTTTACACCATTTTAAAGCGGTTCAAAACCGCGTAGTTTGTACGATTTTTTACTTGTGGAGGCTGTGTTCTCAAAACACCGTTTCGGGCAAGTTGTAGATGCCGACGTGTCTCTTTTTTCGCTCCCTCTGCAGAAAGTTGAGGGTGAGGATTTGCCGCCACTTCGAGAAGGCGAGGTGCTGCCCGTAAAGGAGGTGGAGCTGCACCAGGGGAAGACGTCGCCCCCGGGCTACCTGAGCGAATCGGAGCTCATATCACTCATGGAAAAGAACGGAATCGGAACCGACGCGTCCATATCGGTGCACATCAACAACATCTGTGAGCGGAACTACGTGCAGGTGGGCTGTGCGAAGAAGTCGGAGTGCGAGCCCAGACGCACATAGTGATCAACATTAAACTGTAGAGTATTGAACATAATACCCAAACTCTGGGTACTTCAAGCAGCTTTTAACAAAATATTGTATGATGGCGCCAGTTGAGATTGGAACCGCTCCGATGGTGAAACAGGAAATTCTAAACAAACAAGTAGTTTCTGAAATAAGCATGGAACGTGTTTGTTCCATTGCGTATCCCAACGACTGCAGTACTCCGTGAACACATTGTTCTCCAAGTCGCGGCATGTACGTATCCCTGTGACTCGGATAGCCACCTGTTCGCGTATAGGTGCACAGAGCACTGCTTAGAAGAATCTCTGCACTCTTGTTGACACTCGCGTTTGGGTCTCCATCACCGGTCTTGGGTGGTACGCCGCGTGTGTACTTCGTTGATGCAAACGACGGCGAATCTGCTGGGCGCATTGTATTGCACGAGGGTGTGCTGCGCTGCTGAATTTAGCAGAATTTCAAATTGGCACATGACAGCGCTGGAGACGAAGATATGCTGACGTTCTTCTGTTGGGGAACAATTGGAAGGTATTGACGCAGATAAACTGTTCACTTAACGGAAAAGTGATAATAAGAGGAGCAAAATGGTAGGGTTGGGCCCATTCTACGCTGCTACATGTTTGCGATTCGTTCTGTTTTGGCCCCTTTGGCTGTCTGTTGGCATGGCCGTGGAAGCGCCGTGAACAGACGGGAAGGGCGCATACTGGTGTGCCTGGGCAATACAGTTTCTAAGTTCGGAAAATTGCGCTGTGACCACATGCAGATCCAGGCTGGCCGCTCCGTGGTGCCCACGGAGCTGGGCATAACCCTCATCAAGGGCTACCAGCTCATCGACCCGGAGCTGTGCCGCGCCCAGGTGAGATATAACTTCAGGCTGCAACGAAATCAAACCGAGCGTATCGCCAATATCGATGACCGTATCGATTTTCCCAAACATTACCAGCGCCACCTGTCACGGTGCGCGACTGCCACAACGTCGACTACGCTATGAATTGGACGACTATCAGGTGCCTTTTGCGAATGTGCCGCTGCCCTTACATACCTAACCATTAGCAATGATAGCAACGTTGGTGTGTTTTCCCGGGACTTGTATGTTTGGGAAACACAAATCAGCCAGATTTAATGGATTGTTGATTGCCCGTCTCCCAGGTGCGCGCCCACGTAGAGGCGCAGATCAGCCTCATCGCCAAGGGGCAGGCGGACAAGCAAGCCGTGGTGGACCACAGCCTCCTCGAGTTCCAGCAGAAGTTCACCTACTTTGTGGACAAGATCGACAAGATGGACGCCCTATTCGAGGCCAGCTTCTCTCCGCTGTCCTCTTCAGGTGAGCGCAGTCTTTGGTTATCTGTACGGAAGTTACATAAGTTATATAATGCGGCAGTGGCAGCTGTACTTTATGTTTTGTATTTTGAACCGCATGTAGAATATGGAAAAGTTTCTGTTTAGGCAGTACTTCAGCAAGCATGCATTGGTGCGGCTTTCTGGCTGCGCACGCAAGAACATATTTGGCTGCAGCTCCTCATCACAGATGCCGGTACGAAAGTTACATGCGCAACACCCTCACTCCAAACCTCACCCCCCACCCCGCCCCCACCCCCGGCCCCATCCGCTCGTGCTTTGCAGATGCTTGGGCGTCCTCATTCCGAATTGGCAATCTTGAGCGTAGGGATCACACCAGACGGATGCTGGTCATGAGCACATGCATCATCGATTGTTTGCTATATGGGATTCATGTCGCAATGTAATATTGCTGTGCAACATCAGCCATCTTTTGGGAAGAGTGCAAAAAGGCTCAGTGTACTTAGTCAGGTATACATTACTGTACATATTTGTACCAGTTTATCTTATATCCTTACTGCTGCCATCACTAATTAATTCCTATTCTATTTCCAATTTTGTTAGGCGGAATTGAATGTGATGATGACATGCAAGAATCTGTGTCCAGGGAAGCCGTTCGGCAAGTGCGGCATCTGCCACAGATACACGAAGTACATTCCGACGCGGCCGGCGCGGATATACTGTCCGACGTGCGAGGACGTCTATCCTGTACCGCAGGGCGGTACAGTCAAGCAGTATGGCGGCCTCACCTGCCCGCTGGACGGCTTTGAGCTGGCGCTGTTTTCCCTAGGAGGAAAGGATGGCAAGACTTACCCGTTCTGTCCCTACTGCTTCAGCCACCCGCCATTCGAAGATGCCAAAAAGGTGCGGCGACAGATACTCGTGTTGAAACACACCCGTCCATGAAGCAACATCACGATGTAGAACGCCACATCCAGCGCAAGATGCTGGCGCTCAGCTCTCCGGCTTGCTGCAGAAGACTAGTGTCAATGAGTTGTTCAATGTAGTCCCACGGCATCTGTGGACAGGCAAAAACCTCTGTGTGCTCCCACAATTCGGATTCGCGCTTTCAGGCGGGCTAAATGACCTAATGAACAGTGCCAAGTTGCTGCACACCTCTCACCACTTATGTGGGCTTTGTGACAACGAAAGCACGTCGGTCCTACCATGGCAGATCCGCCGTTCCCCCCAACTCTCTTGCGAGACCGCTTCCGACCTCTCAAAGCCGTCCGCTTTGACAAAGCACTAAATCTGACAAGACGGCCCCAACTCCGTGCACAACAAGCTCGCCTGCCTACCCAGTACTTTGGACAAAATCCACTCCGGGCTGTTCCAATGTACTGCTCTGTGCCGCCTGGCAGGTTGGAGCCGGCAGCGGCAAGTCCGGCATGCCCTGCACCACCTGCCTGCACCCCACCTGCCCCAACAGCGTCATCAGCCTGGGGGTGAGCTCCTGCCCTGACTGCGACGACGGCACGCTTGTGCTGGACCCCGTCAGCGCCCCCTCCTGGCGTCTGGACTGCAGCTGCTGCAGCTTCCTCATCTACCTGCCGGAAAACCTGCACTCTGCGAAACTGTCTCAGGGCGCATGTCAGGTGAGAAACGAATGCACAGCGATATTGGCTGCTGTTTGGGTCGTGAAAGTGTGAATGCGTGGAGAAGTCCCATTGTTGTTGAGCATGTCTCAACGAAATGCTCCACATACACTCAGCCGCGCTGAGCATACCTTCAGAGGTTGCCAGCCCTGCAGAGGGAGTGTCTGTGGAGCGTTTATGCATGGCCTTTCGCTGTGAAGGGCCGCACGAATGCCGTGTTGGATTGAAGCGGTGCCGAACGTGCTGCCTGCGGCGTCGGCTGGAGATGGACACCGCATGCTGTGGTCGGTGGCTGTGACTGGCAATGATAATGGCGATGATGGCAACATTAATGTGGCAAAGGCATGGTAAATGCTTTCAAGGTTGAACTTGCCAGCACTGTCTCAACGCAAAGTCTGCGCGCAAATAGTGCGGAAACCAGTGGCAATGCAGTATTGGGGGGCGACAAGCATTTGGTGCAATCGAAATGCGATTACGAAAGTGATATTTTTGCCTGAGTTGGGATGCAATTTTGGGTACCACCCCGAAAAATATGACAATTTTACTATTCACATATTTGTTGACCTCGTGCATGTGCTTGTTCACCATTCAGGATAGGCGCGTGTGCATCAGCCAGTCGCGCCTTTGTAGCAGAGTTGTTTGGTGTCTTGCCCTGGGGCCTCCAATTCCGTCATTTTCTCGGCGGGTTGTTCGTTCTCGGTCACCTTGCTGTCTTTGGGATCACGTAGGCTTATGTGGGAGTAGACGTGGGCAAAACCACTGGACCAATCCTACCGAAACCATCCCTGTCATGGACTCACAGGGACGGTGGCCCTGTCACCCGTTGGCGACTGTAACAAGCCAGGCTGTCGTGCAACACAGGACTGCGAATCCACCCTCCTGGAACTGGACTGGAAGAAGAGTGCCACGCCGCTGGCGAACGCGGCCACAAAGTACACGGCGTGTGTCGTGTGCGACGACTTCTTGCGCGGCCTGTGCCAGATGAAGCACGGCCACACCTTCTTCGCACGGGGGGGAGGCAGGCGGGGTCGAGGGAGGGGCCGGGGAAGGAGGGGAAGGGGGCGGGGCAGGGGCGGCGGAAGGGGGAAGAATTTCGACCCGAAGATGAGCTTTAGCGACTTTTGAGCTTGCAGAAGAAGACCTTGTTTGGAATCCCGTTGAGGGACGTCCGCTGGGCGGCCGGTTGGGCTGGTTTTGGACGAGGGACGGTTCAATAATGTTGATTTGTCCAAAGTGGGCGAACAGAGACCATTCGCCCGTCTCGAAGGCCGTGCAGGGTTGGGAGGCGGCTGCATTGGCCGGTGGTGTCGAGTGCGGGCGTTGTTGCCCGCCTGCCCGGGATGGGCGTGCCGTCCAATTCATCGCTGTGGCACACCGTGATGATGCGCGTGGACCCATGTATGCACGAATCGACTTACCCGACCAGCAGCCCTATCTATCCAACCCCGCCAGTCCCATTCAATCATGATCGGTGGGGAAGGTCCGGCCATCGACAGTCCGCATAACCGCGCCCTAGCATTGCGCTCTGACAGCCCATTGCCATCGAAATCGCCCACAAACCCAAAGAATGCTCACGGGAAGGCGGCAAGCCTCAAAGCCACGAATAGGCACATCTTGCCCCAGCTCGGGGCAAATGCAACCATCAAAGAACGCGCCAAGCAAGCATCTGGCTCACGTGCTGCCTGACATGTCGCCGTCACTGCCCATTCATCCTCCTCCCGCTCGTGACGCACTTACCAGCTAATGTACCACACAGCCGGTTGTGCAGGGCGTGAAATTAGTCCCTCTGTCTCTTGTGATCGTCGACTCCTGTTTCGACACCCTACACCCCAAACCGCAGGCCCGCTGGCCCACGTTGGCCTTGTCAGCAGAAGATGGGATCCTCAAGAAACAGCAGTGGGAACTAACATATTCTCGCTGTGCAGCAGCGCGAGCAGTCGTGCTTGCGCCCAGTACTTTGCTTCCTAATTCTCCGGCGCCCTCTGGGCCTTGTACACCAGCAGGATGGCCATGTGCCAGTCGCCGCCGCCGTTCAACTTGGTGATGTCCTCCTCCTTGCGCATGGTGAGCGTGTCGTCGTCGAACTCCACCCACTGGCCATCGTGCTTTTTCACCCACGTCTCGTAGTGGCCTGAGTCCGCGCTGCGGCCCTTGTGGGTCACCACGGCCTGGAGCTCGTACGTGCCTGCCAGAGGCGCCACAGTTGTAACGACCACACCAACACCGGCCAAATTTGTCAGGCATGACGAAGCACACCCCACTTGATGTTCAGCTGTTGTTCCAGTGTACACCCTCAGTACTGGGCACTAATTTTGCCCATGACGTCGTGGCAGTTTTGGGTGGAATATCACGCAAAGTGTGTGCACCCACTGCGCGAAGCTCAGCAGCGTCACACCCACTGGGCGGTGCGGGACTCGTGGGCAACGAAATGCAGCACTTTGAGAAACGGCAGCCCAACTGAGCAATCTCAACACAATCTGATGCAAACTGGTTGCTGGGATTGATTCTCTGGGCTTGCACATGCAATTGTGTGTTCGCATCGCCCAATGGGGTTTCAATCATTGCTTTGCAGAGTGCAATGATTCTCAGGGCCACAAAGAAAACTCCGAAAAATCACAAAGTCGCAAAAAAATGCACATGAGAATCTTCAATCTGTTCAACACGTTGGCGGCCCGTGGGTGCACCCCAGCGGCACCATCGCCCAATTACAAGAACGTTAAGAGCAGTTCCATTACGAGGCACAGGGTGCACTAAAGCTTGCAGGGTTTACATGGTCATCACTACAGCCGTTCCCCCGGCAGCAGAATCGCCCACCTGTCATTCCATTGGCGTTTTGCTCTGTTGCTCTGACAGCATGATTGGACGAGGGTGCCGAGGGGCCAGCGGCCTCCGCCATGGGTGTGTCCGTATCGCCACCTTCTGGTGCATCCTGGAGCATACACAACACGCAGGGGGCAGTTAGTCTGGGGCAAGGTGGCAGCAAGCACAATTCTGTTGATCATTTTGGGCTCCTCCCTACAGAAGCCACACAGCCTAGCAAAGATGACTGAAGTTAGATCCCAGCAATTGGTTCCATGCGATGTAAGAATGTGTACGGAAGACATCCCTGGCAGCACCTAGCCAACTCCAGCATCGGGAGAATAAAGCAGGATGAATTACAATCGACCTTGTATGAAGGTGACTAGGATGCCGAAAACAGTACAAAGTTCTGCTGCCAGAAAAGGCACACCTTCCTGGCGGACTCTTCACTCACCACAGCCTCCCTTTTGGTTTCCTCCACTTTAGCCTCTTCCATTTTGGCATCAGAAGTTGATGCATCACCTGGCTCCTTTTTTGGTTCCCCTGGGGCTCCCCCAGCTGCTTTGTTGCGCTCCTCTTGCACCCTTGCACGTGGCCCTTTCAGTTGCTCCTGAAGAGCCTCTGTGCAGAAGTTGAAGAGATCCAAATTGAGAGGGTAGGACACCTGCAACACAACAAGATATTGGATCACTTGATGCCATGCAGCAAACACCATGGAACATGAACACAGGGTATGTTTGTCCGTCGTGGCCTTTTCAGGTGCAAGAGCCTTGTTTTGTCAAGTGCATTGACAAAATGTAGCTGACAGATTTCACACACGCAAGGCCTGTCACTCGCTTGCACAGTGGAACTTGCTCTTGTGGCGGCGCTGACGGCATCTTAGCTTTGTGGGAGCGCATCGTTTTTCACTGCAACGTCTGGTGAGCCTTCTGTGCAGGCGCTGCTGGCCTGCTTAAGGGACAAGCGCCAAGACGTGGGAAACATCGAAGACTTACTGGCATGAGACAGAGACACAGTCCCATGAATTTTTGCCTTACAAGCAATCTACCGAATAGCAAGTTCATGTTGTGCATGCAAACACAACAACTGCAGTGCTGAATGACAACGTGCTGCACACAAAAAGAAAGATGACACATTAGGAATCAAAATTACACCAAGCTGGAAACTATACATAGACTGTACACCAATCTATTCCACACTGTGCAACTGAGTGGTGTGTAGAATGTGGCAGTTGCAAATTGAATGTACATTGAATAACTATGCAATGAAGGTATGATACTTACTATACATTACGTTTTATCCATTTTTGGGATCTTTCTGCCCCTGCCATCGCCTGCCAGTTTCAGGCCAAGCATGCTGTACTTACGCTGACAATAGTCACCCATAGAATACAACAGAAAAAATGACACATACAACCCCCTTTTCCTGCATTTCCAGCACATTTTCCACGCATATCCACAGCCCTTCTTGAGTCATTCACAGCCAGTTTTTCGCAAACTCTCTTTTGTAGGGTGTTTTCAGCTTGTTTTCTCTTTTTACAACTTCTTGTTAGTTTTAGGCCTTCCTGTTTGGGCTGCACGTTCACCACGGTCTCCAAGTTTCTCAAGATTACGAGTTAGCACGGATAGAGAAAATTAGCTGCACTTGCAAACAACTAGCCCATTTATCAGGCACCTGCGCACAGTTTGCTCAACATCGGTCATTTGCAAACGGTCAAACAGGGGCACTTTCTTCTCCATGCCTCACCTTCAGCCGCTCACCTTCTTCAGAATTTTGGCCTTTACGTTGGCACCTGTTTTGTAGAAGAACCTCACGACCTGGACCATTGCATAGGGTGGCAGCTCCGCCAACTGGAAGGAACCCTGGAAACCCAAAGTCACTCTGGTTATTGGCTCGCAGAAGATCAACAAAAGGGTGGCATTCACCAGCGCAATGATATGGGTACTACCCTGTCTTGCAGCAAAACTGGACTGGTTGTTACACCGAAACAGACAAAGACAAGTCATGCCATGGGCATCATATTCATAAGCTGGAAAAGGTGGGATGCTTTCCATACTGCAAAAGTTGAGTCAGAGCCTATGATGGCATGTGATCAACAACGCACTGTACGTTGCTCGTGGCAATAACCAAGCATCAAATGGTTGCCACAGGATGGGAGTTGTGAGAGCAAATCTCTGTTCAGTGCAGGGCTGCTTGAGACTTTTCACCTATTACGGCTGAGCAGAATCCAATGATGGAATGACGGTGACCAAGACAATGACAAAGGCAGTGGGGCCTTCTATTAATATTCAGGAAGAATCCAAAGCAGCAACAATCATGAAAGTGAATACACTGTGGAATGCATGAGGGCAATCTGTAGCTTGGAATGTTCTTGCCACAGATGCGCACTCAGTTTCCCACTGTTCTCCAGTCAGAGGGCAAGAAAGAAGCCAAGGAATTGAGAATATTGACTTGTAGATGGAAGATGCTGCTGCATGCAACACACCTGAAATAGCACGTTCCTTCCCAGCTTCTCTGACATCTGTTCCCTGTCTGCCTTCATGGCCTGCTCCAAGCCTTCATGCAGGTGGTTGACAGGAGGGTCCACAGGGATGTTGCACTTCAGAATGATCTCCATGTCCCTATTTGGTACCTAGTAGATGCAATGCCAGAGTATTGTGGAAAGGACCAATAAAGAAACTCACAATGGGAATTCCTCTCAATGAAACCTACTGAGACTCATTGTATTCTAGAATGTGAGATGCAGGAATCTCCAAGCGCATCAGGACGACAATGCGACAATGAACGGAGTCAGAACCATATTAGGAGGACAAGAACCTGATCGATGGGAACAAAATTGGAGATCCAGACTGTGGGTGTAATCACCCTGTAGGTGCTTGGTATCACATCTCAATGTCTCAATTCTGTACTTATAGGACTGGCATACACACTCACAATAAGTTCCTGAAACAGGTGTCTGTAGAGGGGACAATGGCTGGCTGATTATTGACGTGGAGAAATGGACTGATTCATACATTTGGACACAACAAAACGCAAGCTAGCAATGCCTCAAACAGTACCACGGCAGCAGCCACTGATGTGCAATGAAACAACAAAACAACAGACCAAAATACTCACCACAATTTCTTCTTCTGACTCAGCGCACTTGAGCTTGGTAACAAGACGAAATCCAAAGAGAGTGTCAATCAGGTCGCTCCTGTTGACACCTTCACCAACCTGTGGCATCAAATAGGCCAAGTGGTCAGCCTAGTTTTTGCAGACCACCAGGCTGCTCCGCAGCCATCACAATGCGAGTTGTACACATTTTTCCAAACTGGGCATGCCAG